CAGCAGCAAGAATACTTATTGCAAAGTATTGGAAGACAGAAGATTTACCCACTCTGGAAGAATGGCAGATGAAGGTGATGGACTACATGGAATTGGCGGAAATGACTGGCAGAATCCGAGACCAGGGAGAAGAGTCGGTGGAAGAAGATTGGAAGAAATTTAAAGACTATTTACAGAAATATTGCAAAATTAATGAATGTTAGAATGATGTCAGAAAGAACTTAAGTGGTTTAAGCAGCAATGTTATAAAGGTGTATGTAAAAATGGACTGTTAACAGGTGAGAATCCAAAGTTATAAAATATTAAGTTAAAGGATTAAGATAAAAACAAAGAGGGAAAGAAATTGCTGAATTAACTAACTGAATTGGAATACAAAAAAGGGAGGTGTGAGGAGGTCTGGGAAGCAAGGAAATGAATGTAAGGCATGGAAAGACTGATATATTTTTTTAAGTGTTTTTTATATTTTGCGTGTGTAGGTCCCCAGGCCACCCCTCAAATAACTTCACACATAACATGTAATTTTAGTTTTGGTTTTTGGGCACTATTTTGGCCACAACTTTATTAAAATACAAAATCAGTGAGTGGTTGTTTAGACATTGGTTATGACTATCTGTCCCCCCGCCTGGGACAGAACTGACATCCCGAGGTCTGATCGGTAGCCAGTAGAAGAGAAAGTCAAACTGGGGGTCATTTGAGCTAAGCGTCGGACCCACACCACTCACCCCAGCAGCTCCCCGAAAGCTTGCCCGCCCTGGTCCCATGACAGGGATTCCCATGACAGGGATTGGGCGGCCCTGGTCCCATGACAGGGATTGGACGAAATTGTGGCAAGCCGCAGGATTCCTTTAACGGAATTCCCTTCAGCGCAATTGGAGGGGCAGGCACAGCCTATCCTGACCCCTCCACCACCAGCATATTATAACCAATGCCTAACCGACACCCGAGCTTTAACGCTCGCCGCCAACCACTCACAAACCCAACCAGGAACCTAATTTTTCAGCCACAGCATCCAACCAAATATCATTCCGCAAATCAGAAAGGTGCACTCCATCTGCCCGGTATAGGGCTGCCGCCTAAAATAAATGCTGGGGTGGGGAATCACCAACCCACCCAGCTCCAAAACCTTCTTGCATACTGCAGAGTTAATGCGTTTCCTGGCCTTTTCAGCGGCCTCCGGGCGGGGAACACCACGCCAGGATTGCCTCTGCAACAAGTGAGACCAAATAATTCTCACAGAAGGAAGCCAGGTGGCCAAATGCTCCAAATCCCTAATGATAATGGAGCGTAAAGAAAGGCAACCAACAGTTGCCACATCATTTTCCCCCAGCTGTACCACCATGGCCGTAGGGGGAGGGGAAGAAAGCAGCCGACGCTCAATAAGCGGCAAAAACTCTTCCCACAGCATTCCGCATCTGGAAATCCATGACACTTGCACGTGCTGAGGGAGGCCGAGACACGATCCCCTGGCAGATTGCCTCGCTCTGATGCCAGCCCAATGAACGATGCTGTGTCCCACTATCCAGACGCGTACCAGCGAGGGATCTACAAGTGGAAAAAACAAGTATTAGTAACAAAATCAACATTTGTTACGCACATAACCCTTGAAGGCATCAGATTTCCACCTCCCCAGATCCTTAATCCTGGCAGCTGACAAACCCCAATGTGCTGCCATGGTCGCTGCCCCTATGCGAAAAGAATGAGGGGCATAACCGGATGCCGAGATCCCACATGCCACAATAACCTTACGCATGATTTTTGCGAACTGGTGACGCGCCAGAGGGCGACCACCTTCATGCAAGAGCAAGGGACCATCCCCAGGAGGCCTCAAGGCCAAGTACCTCCTTATGTCCTTGACTGGGCACGGGCCCGCCTCCCCAGTGGCAGGGAGGTGGATAACCTCCCCCCGACCCAACTGGTCAGTTTTGGAGTTGCGCACCAATAGTCTCAACTCCAGGGGGGACACGCTAATATCCTGGAAGAGCAACCCACGGGAACCGCCAACTGAATTGCACTCCACTACAACCTCTCCCACCCGGAGGGCTCCAAAAAATGCTAATGAAAACGCCGCTGAAAAAAGGCGTGCTTCATATTTAGACCAGCACACAATCCTCAACTTGGAGCGCATTCTGAACAACTCAAAGGTGACAGGACGCCTGGCAGCCGTCCTGGGGGGGGGGGCAAGTCTGCCCCACCCTTCCATGGCCTTACGCACCACAAACCTTTTACAAGGATCCTTGTCATACAAGGACTTGCTGAAAAAAGAAATTGCTGCAGAATGAATTCTCAGAGTTCTGGCAGCGTGGCCCAGCTGAAACAAATGAGCTAAGTATCACAAGACCTGAGGAGTGGTAGGAGGGGGTTTAAAATTGCTGGACACCGACTGCGTGAATTTTAAAAAGTCAGCCCAAGCTTTTTTATAGGATCGCAAAGTGGACGTAGAAATGGAAGCTGCTACTCCCTGCATGACTAAGTGTTGCCAAGATTCCAGAGGTGCGATGGAAAATACTCTGGAAGCTTCTGAGCTTCTGGAGCCAGGGACCAGAATCGCTCCATCTGAAAATGGGATAGAGCATCAGCGATCTCGTTAGATATACCGGTGATGAAACATGCCGAAAACACAATATTAAACCTCAGACAATGTAGGACGAAGGACCGCAGAAGGGCCGATACCCTGGGAGAACGGGACGATTGTTTTGCCAGCACGTTCACCACCGCCTGGTTGTCGGACCAGACACATATCCGACGGTCCCTGAATTCCGCGACCCATAAATGCACTGCTACTGCAATGGGAAAAAACTCGAGAAAAGTTAAGTCTCGCGTAATCGCTTCCCCTTGCCATTCAGGCGGCCACCGCATGGCACACCATGTTCCATTCCAGTACAACCCAAAGCCTAAAGAACCAGCAGCATCAGAGTGCACTTGAAAATCATTGTGGAGGTTAAAACGTCCTGCCACAAGGATACACCATTGAATTCCTCTAGGAATTCCAGCCAGACCTGCAAGTCCGCCCGTACCTGCGCGGACAATCGCACCCGATGCTGTGGGGCCCGTAGTCCAGCCGTGAGCCTGGCCAGACGGGAGCAGAAGGGGCGACCAGGCGCCACCACTCTGCATGCAAAATTTAAATGACCCAATAATGACTGAAGCTGCCTCTAAGAGAGAATATTATGAAAATGATATACAGGTGGTACATAACCCCAGTCAAGCTTGCAAAAATCTATCATTTGCCCGATAATAAATGTTGGAAATGTAAAGAAACTGAAGGTACTTTTTTTCACCTTTGGTGGACGTGCCCAAAGATTAAGGCTTTCTGGGAAATGATATTTAATGAATTAAAAAAGGTATTTAAATATACCTTCTTGAAGAAACCAGAGGCCTTTCTCCTGGGCATAGTCGGCCAAACGGTGTTAAAAAAGGATAGAACTTTCTTTATGTACGCAACAACAGCAGCAAGAATACTCATCGCAAAGTATTGGAAGACACAAGAGCTCCCCACACTGGAGGAATGGCAGATGAAACTCATGGATTATATGGAACTGGCGGAAATGACTGGTAGAATCCGTGACCAGGGAGAAAAGTCGGTGGAGGAAGATTGGAAGAAATTTAAAGACTATCTGCAGAAACATTGCAAAATTAAAGAATGTTAGAGTGATGTTGGATTGAAAATAAGTGGCTTCTAGCTATACAGGCTTTAAAGTTATATATAGATCAAGATTAAGGATTAGGATTAAAAAAAAGTTAAAGGAAATGGAAATTTGGTTTTTAAGAGGTAAAAATTTAATGTTATATTATATTAAGATTAAGGATTGGGATTAAAAAAGAGGGAAAGAAACTGCTGGACAAACAAATTGAACTGGAATACAAAAGAGGGAGGTATGAGGAGGTCCAGAAAATAAGTAAATTTAAAAATGGTGATGAAAAGGTGGTATTATTTTTAACTGTTTTCTTTTTTGTCGTTTGCTTTTTTTTTTTTGGATTATGTATTGTGTATTTTTGAATTGTGTATTTTTCTTTTTTCTTTTTAATTTTTTTTATTGATGTGTTCTTTTTATTGGAAACCTTAATAAATATCTATTTTTTTTAAAAAAAGAAGCTGCCTCAGAGTAACCTTCCTCAAAGGAAGAATCTCCCGAATAACCTTACGCAACGTAATTATCTTATCTGGGGGTAAGGTGGATGTTTGAGCATTGGTATCCAACCGGATGCCCAAATATGTAAATTGAGTCGCTGGGCCTTCAGTTTTATCCACCGCCAAGGGGACCCCCAGTTCTCCCATAAGGGAAGCAAAGGCCTCAAATAACACAACGCAGTTGCCCGTGCTGTGTGCTGAGGCCAACAAAAAAATCGTCCAAATAATGGGGCACGCCCCCTAGACCGGACTTAACATGCAAGGCCCAATCCAAAAAGGTACTAAAACACTCATACAGCCCATAGGCATAGCTTTGTCAAAATAAAACTTCCCCTCAAATTGGAAACCCAACAGCCAAAAATCCTCAGGATGAACAGGCAGCAAGTGAAAAGCCGACTCAATGTCACACTTTGCCAGCAAGGCCCCAGGGCCAAATTTCCTGATCATCTTGATCGCCTGATCAAGGGGCGCATATTTCACTGAGCAAAGCTCCGGGGGAATAACATAATTTACTGACGTGCCTTTAGGGTGAGATAAATTATGAATAAGGCGAAATTCCCCCGGAGCCTTCTTTGGGACAATACCTAAAGGCGAAATATGCAACTTAGGAAACGGGGGTACTGCAAAAGGGCCAGCCATACGACGTAAAGCCAACTCTTTTCCAATCTTCCTGCGGGCGATATCTGGCATCTCCCGCACAGACTTCTGATTGCGAGGATTCCGTGCCACGGGTGGCATGGCTACAGGAATCCTAAAACCCACTGAAAACCCTTCTCTCAAATAAGCTGCAGCCTCGCGGTTGGGATAAGACTGCAGCCAAGGCAACAATGCCGACAGTTTTATCGGCGTATATGCCATAGACAGTAAGTCACTACTTACCAATTCCAGTGGAAGAGGTAGAGGGTGTGGCCTTTGGGGGTTGCGGAGCACCCCCTTTCCCCCCTCGAAAGGGCCGCTTACCCCCCTGACAATTGGTAGCGGGGTGACTCCCGCCACACGTATCACACACATGGGGATATTTGCAAGGCTGTCGTTGGCACTCTCCTTTGTTGAAATCCCAACAGATTCTCTTACGCCCAGGCTGAACAGGGGCTGCCTTATGCTTGGGCTGTTCCAGGGCCTTCCTCTCAAAATGTGGGACCACGTAAGTGGTCCACACGTCCAAATCCCTGCGGTCCCATCGAGCCGTAGGGATTTTTCCAGCGCGACGTCGAAAATTTTCATCGTAAAGGATTGCTGCCTCAGCGCCAGCCATGGCGTGCGCCGAGCGGACAATAGACAGGTACACAAAGAGATACAAAGCCCTCCGAGGATAAGAAGCCGAGACAACCCCAGCAAAGACCTGGAAGCTATCCAGCCAGCGCTCAAAAGTCCTATCCGACTTTTTAAGCGCAGTCTGCCTCTTTGGGGCAGATATGGCTTTATCAAGAGCATCCAGGCTTGCGGTTGGTGGTGCCAGGTCAAAAATGTCCACATAGCGGCCATCCAAAATCCTGGACCGCAATTTAGAGGACAAATGAGCCCCTGGTATAATGTCTCTAACAGAGTTAGTAGAGACCTTTACGTCAGGAACCAATCTACCATCGCAGCAATCAAGGATTGCCCCATACCTGGCCCTATGTGAATTAGCCCTGCGTTGCCATGCCCATTTTGGCAAACCACCAATGGGTTCTCCAAAACCCCAATAAAGACCCAGGGATGCGTCAGCCTCGTCCCCTGAACTCCCAGAAGATGTACCTGTGGAAGAAGATGAAGACTCGCCCCTCCTCCTCTTGGCACGTCTTCTGGAACTCTTTTTACGGTGGCGATGCCCCCCAGAAGAAGATTTTGCTGGAACAGGCAAGCTGTCCTCTATTGAAGAGTCCGCATCTGCCTCAACTTGTGCGGCCCCTGAGGTAGACTGAATAGAAAAATCATGTGAGAGACCCGCACCCGATGGTAAAACAGGGGAGGACTAAGCTGGCAAAATTGCCCTGGCAGGAGTCGATCCCCTGGCCCGCTTCCCTAAACGTTGCCTACCTGAGCGTCCTCCCCCCCTTGAGCCAACCTGAGGCACAGGTAAAGCAAGGGACCGGGGCGGGGTTTCCGACAACAAATCCCCAGCCCCTGAAAATTCACTCCCATCTTCACTAGATGATGACAGAACCGGGGAAGAGGCAGGCGCCGTAGGAGCAGGCACCAGCGAAGTAGATGGTCGGGAAGCACAGCGTCGGATAAGGCCGTCCACCTCCGCAGCAAGACGCGCCAAAGCCACAGGGTCACCTGATATTCCAGGAACCAGTGATTCCAATTGACCCCCAGACTGAGGTGGGGTTGGAGAACGCAGGGATTGTGACGGGCCCTTAATGGGCCGCTTAGCAGAGACGACCGTCACCGCCTTTTTCCCAGCCTTTTTCGGGGCCATATCTGATAATAAAAGACAGTAAAGTTAGCAATAAAACTGGACTTTAATAAAATGATAAAGTCAAAATTAAAATAAAAGTAAAAAGTTAAATAAAATAAATAATTGATTAAATTTAATCCAAAATTAATCCAGTAATTAAAATAAATTAAACTCCAATTAAATTAAAATTGAATAAAATGAGTAAGCCAAATCAGATCACAAAGAAGTAAATAATAATAATAATAATAATAATAATAATAATAATAAAATAAAAAATAAGATAATAAAATAATAATAATAATAATAATAATAATAATAATAATAATAATAAATAGGGGTAAATAAAATGAATAAATAAATATGGAAAAGGATTGGCCCGAAAAGAGACCACTTAAATCAAATAGAAGCAACAACACCTATTCGCTTCAAAAGAACCACAAAATTAGAATTAATTAAATCAGGGTGCAGTACCCTTCAGACGCCACCAGATGGCGCTCTCAGTGCAGCACTTAAATTATACGCTGCGATTGCAGCTAGTGGCCACAGGAGGTCACTGTTGTACAATAAATTGGAAAAGCACGCTTGTTAAGTGCAATTACAGCTAGTGGCCACAGGAGGCCACTGTTGCACAATTAATTGAGAAATAACGCTCGGAAAGCGCTGAAAAAAGACGCACGGAGAACTGGAGAGCGGGGAAGGCTGCGTTTATGGCGCCAGCCCCCCCAGGGGCAAAAAACCCCTTAGCCCCCAAAAGGGGGTCGCCTATCAATTTGAGGACTTCCGGGGTGGCGCCATCGGCAATGGCGGACTCCCTCTGAACTGGAGGGACCAGCTCCACAGGAATCGGGTCTTTTCCGCTACGGCGAAGCGGGGACCCATTCAAAAATCACAGGCGGATGAAGCCTGTGACCATGGGACTCAGCGGGCACCTTTAGCGCCCCCCCCAACCCACAAAGGAACCCACTAACGGGCTCCGGAGCGAAGAGGGGGAAGTGGCGCGGTGCTGAGAGTCAACTGCTTCTTCCGTGGAGCAAAGCCGCACAGCCGTTGCCGGAGAGCGCTGCCTTTTTCCTGGGACAATTTGGCTTTTAAAACAACCACCCGTGAGTACTTAAGTTTCGGACAATTGGACTCTAAATAAGGATTTGTGAGCAGAAAGGAAAACTGGACTTAAAAGTTTAATTTAATTTGGCACTGAAACGGGAAGGTCTAAACAGGAAGTCAGCTTTCCGTTTCTTTGTAGATAGATTAAAGCAAAGACACAGCAAACTAAAGTTCTGAAAATCATTTCTAAAGGATTAACTTTCATCATTTAAAATTGTTGAACCCCCTTCGGAAGCAGGAGAAGAGGGGGGATTTTTTCTGGACTGTTTAAACCTGCAGAAGTGAGTGTAAAGTAAAGTAACTTTCCACCGTCTTGATCCTGGAGCGGGGTGTCAGGACTGACGTTCTTTGAAGCTCATTGACCAGAGACAAACGTTTTTGACAGATAGCTAAAGGAAGAGATACATAGTGATTCCATTGTTCCCCTTCGCATTTTAAAGGAACAAATATTGACAAAATATCTGAAAAAGGAAACTTTGTTGTTAGATTTGTTTTTAAAAGAAAAGAACAAGCAGAAGTTTTTCCCCTAGAGGGAGCCTGTGAAACTGTAACCAATTTTGAATCGGGAAGCTCGCAGCTGTTACAGATTACGATCGTGGGAATAGACTTCTGACCTTGCAGGACAATGTATTCAGAAGCTCTGTTGAGTGCTTTCTGTAAAACAAGTGCCCTACTGGAACAGCTACATGAGAAGACGGATTTTATGACTGATGCGATTAGAAATTTTGGACAGGCAGTGGGATATTATATAGAGCCCACCCAGGAATTAGATCAGGAGTGTGCCCTGACAGAACAGATGAGGGAAGAGGATGTTGCTGAATCTTGGGCACCAGGGATGGAGGGAGCTGCGGCCCAGCAGGGACATGAATTCTTGGATTTGACAAATGTCGTGTTATTTTTTGATTTTGATTTTGATTAATTTGTATTGTTTGACTGTGGTTTGTCTTTTCTTTGTTTTTTCTTTCTTTCTTTCTTTTTTATTCTCTTTTGTAATTTTAAAATTTTCAATAAATATCATTAAAAAAAAGGGGGGGTCGCCTAAAGGCCGCGGGGGCCGCGCCAAGCACCCCCAGCGGCTGTATGGATTTTTAAAGGCCTGAATAGGCCCCCGCAACAAACGGCCGCCGAGGGCCGAAAATAGAGGCCGCGGCCTGGCCGTTCAAGCTGGCCGTAGCACAGGGAGCGCTCCAAGGGCCTAGCAGGCCTCCTCCCCCAGTCTCCCTAGGCCCGAGGACAAAATTAAGGCCGGGGAAAGCGGCAGCGCCAAAAAAAAGGTCTAAATTTAGGCGCAGCCTGGGCGGCCGGGCAGGCTGCGACGCAGCAGCACGGCCTGCACTCGCGGGAGCCGCCCAGAGCCCCCCAAAGGCCGCCTGGTGTCCCCGGAGGCCCGAATGGGCCGAATTCAATTTAATTAAATTTTGGGGGACCACCGGCCAGCTACTAAATTAAATCCAAAAGGACCCTGAAGGCGTGCTGCCTCCCCGGAGCCGCTTAAGCCGAGGACGGCTTTAAACGACAACAAGAAAATAAGGTAAGCCTAATTCCCCGCACCCCCCAACCGACCTTGCCCTATGGGCCTAAATTTACCCACAGCGTGGGTTAGGTAGGGAAGAAATGGTGAAGGGAAAAGGAATAAGGCACAAATATCACCAAAGTCTCTTGCAGTGTTGGCTCTGATCTGATTGATCCGATGCACTCTGCAAAGAGAAAGAGAAACCAGAGTGCACCAATATTTAAAGACTATGGTCCCACCCACCCAATTTGCAACATACAATTTGCCCCAGCAACCCAGTTACCCAATCATAGTGCCAGGCAACAACTCTTAACCTGCCTGGCAACAAGAGGCCTGGCCTGGCGGCCCGCACCGCAACACGTGCTCTCATTTATTGGAGAACACGCTTTCTCTGTATTTTGTATTTTCCTTTTATTTTTATTTTTGTATTTTTTTTCCTTTCTTTTTATTTATGTAATTCTTTTCTTTGAAATCTTAATAAATATCATTTTTTTTAAAAAAAAAAGTTAACTTCTTACATTAAAAATCTGACAGTACCAAATTATCGAAGGCTTTTCACCAAAGCCAGACTAAATGTCTTTCCTTCTGCAGTGTTGGATGGCAGGTTGAGAGGAGTTCCCTACCAGGACAGACTTTGCTTGTGTGCTCAAGACATCGATTCCATAAAACATATTTTATTGCACTGTGCAAAATATGAGCCAGCCAGGGCTGAACTGTTATTACCATTGCTGGTACCTTTCCCGGGAAAATCAGAGGCTCACTATGTCAGGTTCCTATTGGAAGACAGGACAAATGCTGGAACATTAGCAGTGGCAAAGTTTTTATCGGTGGTTGCAAGAACCAACGATCCCAATATTCTGAACAAAATGCTTGTTTCACCTGGAGGTAGGCTGTATGAATTGTGTATTGCTTGGTAATGATTTGTTGGGTCTCTGGACCATAAAAAAGATTGATGATGATGGTATCCAGCAATGCAAGCCATAGTCAATATTTGTTGTTCTTGGCTTAGTCAGTTGTGTTTAATGAAGGAGACAGTGCCCCAACATAAATAGCCACTTACTGGAAAGAGTTTTCCCTGCTTCTTCCCAGAGACACCTCTGAACGTTCTGTAAGTATCAAGCGTGCCTTTCCTGATGCTGCTACAGCAGAGGGTGGCTTGGAGGGTACCATGGGGGTGGTTTGTGTGCCAATGGAGATGTCAGGAAAGGAGAGAAGAGGAGCAGGTATGAAAAAGGAGGTGATGGTGAAAAATGGGTTGAAAATGAGGCTGCGGAATAGAAGCAGCTTTAGAAATGGGGAGTTGCAAAGGGTGGTTGGAAATAGCATCAGGCACGTACTGAAGTCATGTAGGTGGTACATGACTTCCGTCAGACTAGCCAAAATATACAAACTAAAATCAAATTTGTGTTGGAGATGTCAAGAGGTGGAGGGAACGATGTATCATGTATGGTTGGGATGTGGGAAAATAAAAAAATTCTGGAGTAACATTCACAAAGAACTAGAAAAGATGTTTATAACATCATTTGAGAAAAAGCCAGAAGCGTTTCTATTAGGCTTAGTCTCAAAAGACATCCCCGGTGATAAGAAAAATGTGTTTTTATGTGCCACAGCTGCTGCCAGACTACCATTAGCCAAAAACTGGAAAGGGGCACTGCTCCCTCAGTAGCGGAGTGGCAAAACAAGCTTTGTGAATTTATAGAACTGGCTAAAATGACAGCAGCTACTAGATTCCAATCAAATCAAAAATTAAAGAAAGAATGGGAATGTGTGGAAGAATACATGACAAAACATTGTTTCAAAACAAATTTATTGATATGCATTGACTGAAGTTCCTAAAGTTAAGGTTAAAAGAAGAAAAGTGACTAATGGGGAATATGTAAATAATTTTCCTTAACACAATATTATAGTAATGAATAATATTGAAAGCTGAGCATGGATGGAGCGAGGTCACAATGGTATAAATCAAAAAAAAAGAATAGACAGTTATATATATGTTGATAGTATGTATTGTAAAGAATGATAAAAGGTGTAACTGAATGTAACAATGCAAAATTAAAATGAAAGATAAAAAGAAAAAAGAAATAGCATCAGGCAAATTTTGCTTTATTTTACCTTATTCCATTTTGGGTCATTGACAAAGGTTTTAACCTGTGCTTTTTCTGGGGGCACACAGTACTGGCACCATTTATTTATTTTTTAATTGTTAAATGTTTGGAACTTCCTATAGCAAGTTCATGATGATTCTTCAGGATGAGTGCTGGCACGTTTGTTTCTTTTTTTAAAACAAAAACAAAAACAGGGGTTTTAACAAAGATCACTTTGTCCCTAATATTCTGCCCAAAGAGGAAAAAGTGGGTTTTTAAAAAATTTCTGCCAGAATGCCAGACAATAGCTGAAATGCAAGCCAGAGTCCTCCACACAACAGTACCAGAGAAGCTTAAGAGACTGGAAAGGACAAAAGCAACAAATAAAGATTGTCTGCCATGTTAATATAAAGTAGACATAAATGCAATGCCAGCATCCGTCATTGTATAGTTGCAATGATCATTTTTAAATGTGACCCCCCCCCCAGAGAACTCCCAGAGGAACACAATGCCTCACATCTACCTGTCTTTGCTTCTGGCTGGGCTCTGTGCTTTTGCCCACCGTCACCATACTCTTGACCACAAGGAGGACCATGACCATTCTCCTCTTGCTGAAGGTCACAGAGATTTGCCTTCTGTGAAGATAGTCCAATTCTACTACGACCTTCCTTTGGAGACTGGTGAGAAGAACATTTTCTCTTTTTTTATAATATTTTTATTCATTTTCAAATACAAATTTATACGACCATTATCAGAATTTATCACATAATCTTCTCTTTTTTTTTACTTCCCTCAGTTTCTCTGCCAATCTTCCGTTTTATTTTTTTTTTTACACATTTTCTAATTTTAATATTGCCTTTAAAATATACCCTCTCCAGCCTTATTTCCTTTTTTGCAATATTCCTCATATTTTCACAGAACATCTTGAAAACCTACAAGCGTTGTCTGTTCATCACATATATTTTTTCAGATAATCTGTAAATTTTCCCCAGTCCTCGATGAACTTCTGGTCTCGCAATTATCGGATCTTCCCTGTTAGTTTATCCAGTTCTGCAAAGTCCGTAAATTTTGATCTCCATTCTTCAACCGTCGGTAATTCTTCCTGTTTCCATTTTTGGGCCAGGAGTATTCTCGCCGCTGTTACTGCGTATTGGAAAAGTTTACAGTCTTTTTTACAGATTTCATTTCCTACAATTCCTAAAAGAAAAGCCTCCGGTTTCTTAACAAATGTATATTTTAACATCTTTTTCAATTCATTATAAATCATTTCCCAGAAGCCTTTCACTTTCTTACATTCCCACCACATATGATAAAATGTCCCTTCTTTTTCTTTACACTTCCAACACTTATTACATGTTTTATACATTTTTGCAAGTTTTACTGGAGTACTATACCATCTATATACCATTTTCATAACACTTTCCTTTAACGCAGTACATGCTGTAAATCTTAGTCTTTGATTCCATAGTTTTATCCAATCATCCAATTCTATCCAAAATCCCTGGCCCAATGTACCATCACCGATTTAACTTCTTCATCTTTTGTATACCATTCCAGCAACAATTTATACACTTTTGATAAAATTTTATAGTCGTTACTTAGTATTTCTGTTTGAAATTTTGAATCCTTTTCCACATAACCGCACTCTTTACAATCCTTTTTAAACATTTCATTAACCTGATAATAATGCAACCAATCATATACATACTCTTGAGAAGAACATTTTCTTTCACCCTCTGACCATTTCCACTGCCTTGGCCCTAGTGTCACTGGGAGCTAGAACAACTATGTTGAGCCAGCTTTTGTCAGGACTTGGCTTTAATGATATTAAGTAATTGGGAACTAGATTAAGAACAGAGCTATAAAGGCAGGTATCTCAGCACAGTAAGATGCCACAAAAACAGGAGCTTTTATTAAAAGCTCTGAGTATGACAATTAATATTTTGAAGAACTAAATGACATGTATACTGTTATTGTTCTTTCCATAAGCCAGTTGGGAAAAACCTTTCAATTCTCTGAATACAAGAAAAGGAGACTTCTATGTGGATGAGGAAACAAAGGTGAAAGTCCCTATGATGAACAAAGTCAGCTGGTTTGAGACTTACCATGATAAGATCCTGTCCTGCAAGGTTGTGAAGCTCCCTTACAAGAGCAATGTTTCAGCATTATTTATTCTTCCTCACCAAGGAAAAATGAAGCAGTTGGAAAATGCTCTTAGCAAAGACGTTTTGTTAAAATGGAGGAATTCTACAAAATCACAGTAAGTGTACATGCTATAGTGGAAAGAGTGTAGTACATATTTGTAGGTGTAAATATATTGTTGTGAGTTTGAGGGATAGTGATAGGCTGTGTAATGACCAAGTCCCTTGTAATTCCAGAACAGGATCAATTGAGCCTAGACATCGCTGAGACAGGAGTGCAAACATGTTAGGAATGTGGGCTTGGGAGAGCACATCTTTGATTAGAATTCTGTCCTGCCATATGACACCCAAAATTCTCCTGGCACATTTTTTTTCAATGCAACACCTCACTAGCCTCTGGTTCCTCTTTCAACAGGAGAATAGATCAAGCAGACCTCTCTGAAATTCCTGGGAAGCGTGAGGTGAAGATTTCCAAGGTAGGCGTCTCAAAATTCTACAGGTTGATCTATATTTTCTTGTATCCTCCATTTTCCACCAGAGGTACCCTCTTGTCTGAATTATGTTCAAATGAACATAATTTGGGGTACTTGAACCACAATCCCATCTCTCATGGAGAGGAGGAGCCTAAATACTTGCTATTCCAGCTCGGATGATTAAGAGGCACCAAAAACCCATCTCTCCCTCTACTATAGCCTAATGGCATGAGTGGTGCTTGGTGACAGTTGAGGGGGGAGCCCCAATGGAGCTGGTCTCCCAACAGAACTGATGGAGAGACTCTTAAGGCCCAGCTCTCCCTCTTCCCTTGGCCATGCTATTTGGGGCTGATGGGATCCAAAAACATCAGGAGGGCCACAGTTTCCCCACCTCTGACACAGAATTTTCAAGAGCAGATGATTCGGTACCAGTTGCTTTGCAAAGACTGCAGTTAGCATTGCAGAAGGAGGAGAAATCTGATATATTTGCAAGCTTTGTGCAGACAGTATGGTTTATCACATACCTGCTTTAGTCTGACCTGCTCAGGCACTGTAATTTTTTTAACGATATATACGATATCTTTATTGTCATTGTGCCACACAGAACAATGAAATTGAAAATCTACATAAAATATTCAAAAATCCCTAAAAACTCTGAAACCCCATTTTAAAATACAATATACTATAGTGCTGACGAACCATATGCTGTGTGTATTACTGCAGCCTAATTTTAAAGTATATTACTAAATATGTCTTTTATCCAGTTATATAAACTTTTGTATTTATCTGTTTATGTGCTGGCTACTTTTGAAACCTACTGTTTATAATATTATAGGAGTAATAGGGTAATATTATATGTGGTATATATGAAAGAAGTGTTCGTATTTTTAGCATAATGAGCCTGGTATGGGGATCTTGCTTCTCATCAACAGTAAGGGAGAGAGACAAGAACTAGGAAAAAATAATTATGGAGAAGATTGACATCAAGATTTTAAGAAAATTCCTTCAGTTCCTTGAGGCTGACTGATACACAAATATGATGCTTAGAACTGGTTAGAGGAACCAGATCAATAGGTAATCAGAGTGAGAAACGACCACATGATGTTGTTTCTTAAGACATTCGGTGGATAAGACACTTAGTGGATTTATTTGTTTTGAAGGCCTAGATTTTCTCATGATAAAATCCTGAGTCAGACACAATCTTGCACTAATTTCTGTTGTGTTTCTTTGCAGGCTATTCACAAAGCTTATTTAAATGTCTATGAGAATGGCACGGAAGCTGCAGCTACTACTGCCACTGAAATTGTTCCTATCTCCCTTCCTCGTGTAATAATTACGTTCAATCGCCCCTTTCGGTTTGTGATGACTAGCGAGTTTAACCCCATCTTCATGGCAAAAGTCACGAATCCTACTGAGGCATGATTGCTCAACTTGTTTTGCAGCACAGAAAACATGGGGTTTCCAATATGAAGCATGATTGATAAGATGCTTTTAGGTATCAGAGTGATTACTGTCCCATGTTCCCAAACTGAATAAATAAAACACTGATTGAGTTGTCACTCCATGATAATTCGGGGCGTGTAGACACCTGTGCCATTTGAAACATCGGGTGAACAGTATTTTATTATTATCTCATGCAGGTGTAGTATCCACAAGTAGCCAACAGTTGCAAGGAGAAGGTCAGGTAGGTCAAAAGCTCAGAATGAGCTGAGGCTTTCAGGAGAGGTTACAAATAATAAAAAGGGTTTATTTGACTATGCCCAAAGCAAGAGGAAGAACAAGCAAGTAGTAGGTCCTCAGTGTGGAGAACACGGAGAAATTATATTCGGTGTTAGTGTGAAAGCAGAACTGCTCAACAAATACTTGGCCTCTGTCTTCACTGAAAAGAAAAGCAGTGCCCAACCTGGTTATAACAGAAAAAAATAATGATCCATAGAGGGAGCTGCAGTCTAAGGCAGGGAAAAAAGATGGTAATGGAACTTCAAATGAATTCAAATCTGCAGGACCTGATGAGCTGTATCCAAGAGCCTCTGTCTATAATGTTGGAGAATTCTTGGAGAACAGGTGGGGTCTTTGCACTCTGGAGGAGGGCAAATGTTTTCCCCATCTTCCAAAGGGGAGGGGGAGAAGACATTGGCAGTGACCTTGATTTCAAGGTCCTAGAATAGATAATTAAAAAATCTGCCTGTGAGCAACTTAGAAAAGGATGCTGTGATTACCAAGACGCAGCATGGTTTTCTCAAACAAATATCTGTATATTGTGTCTCTTGTCATATGTCTTAGGCACATGCATTTTACCCTACAGTGCTTTGGCTTCCTTGGATTGCTGTTAAATGCCCCTGCAGTTTCATTGCCTAGTTGCCATCCTTCCCATTTAAAGTGTCACAAACATTTTCACTCTTATCCCTATTGGATGTCAGATACGCAGGCAGCATGGGAGTTTCCCCTCTCTCTGGGAGCTTCTGATAAGGATTAAAGAGCCTCAGGAAGGTTTATAGTCCATTTGATTTACAACAACTACCGAGAGCAGCCCTGGGCCATCCTCTATCAGGATGTCAGTTGCTCACTCTGAATCCCCTCCCCTTCCACAGCATGAAGAGCACCAAAGGTCTGCTCTCCCACCCCTGTGCTTCCATTGTTCATTAACCTTTTCAGTCCTCTGAGTTCAAGGGGAGGGAGGGAATTCCCCACCACTTTCGATTGAAGAATCTCCCAAACACTCTCTCCCTCCTGGTTGCCTAGCTACCATCTCAAAGCTGTCTAACTCTTCCCCCGACTGTGCAGCCTCTAAATATGCTTCTGGGATGAATCCTCCCTTCTTTCCCTGTTACAGGCTGAACTGTCTGCGACTGCATTACCCCATCTTCAGAGTCAGACCAGTCTCTGGCATCTGATTCAGACCAGCCCCTGATATTGGATGCTTTTTTGTGAACCAGACACTCTTCACATTAGAAGAAAATGTTCTTATAAGCAAGCCTGGAAGCAAGCTGGTGGTGTAATCTACAGGCAAACCCAGTATTTCCTGGGACTATCTTCAAATAGGGCAGATCACTGCCATGGTCTTTCCGGTGTTCAAAAGTGATAATGGGATTTAGTTTAGCTCCCTGGGAATGAGGAGATTTATCAGTGCAGTGGACAATCTTGCTTCTCTCTGTCACCAGAGAACTAAACCTGTCTCTCTCACACACAGAGGGAGACACTTCTCCCCAAAACCAAGACCTTCCCTTAAGCCCTGGAAGTTTTTTTTACTACAGGCATGAGTTCCCTCCTTTTCCTTCCTCCCCCTTCCTCCTTGGCCTGCCTTCAGGACCTTTGGAAACAGCAGGGTTGGCCCTGTTGATTTGTGCCAGAGTGCCCCTCTTAAATGGGACATTCCAGGATCCAAACAGAATCCAGGATTGGCTTCTGTGATCCATGATGTCCCACTTAAAATGGGACAATTGGGGGTATGAGATTGCCCACTGACACCCCCAATTTTATCCTCACTAGAGGGGACAGTACGCTGTAGACTTGGGACTATTGGTATGCGACAGAGGGTGCGGAAGGTCAAGATGGCGGCGTTAGTGGTAGCATCGACTTCAGCTCTGCATCAGTTGATGTGGTTTTTATTATTTTTATCAGTCTTTTATTAGCTTTTATCAGCCGCAGTATTTTATCTCTGTCATTTGGCAGCTATTATATTCACAAAGCTTGAGTTAAGAGCTTGAGTTAAAAGTCTTAGAGAAAGTCTTGGAAAGTTTCGGAGAAAGCCATAATTAGCTCCAGCTCAACTAAACCTACCAACTACTTATCAGCAGGAGCGGAGATGAAACACTCTATCATGGGACAATGCCGAGCTTCCTGATTTACAGCAGAAATTAGTAGCGGCTCTATCTCTGGGAAAATGTCTAGGAAAAAGACGCAACCAGCCTCATCTCCACAAGTCAGCCCACAGCAGAAGAGCAAGCAGAGTAAAATGGACGATTCTGTAAGAGCCCAGAACTCAGAACCTACTACATCAAATAGAACTCATTCCCAGGTAGGTGGGGATGCTTTAATGGGTGGAGATCACCCAGAGGAGAAAGCTGAGATGAGCGCTCATGAACTAGCCCATGAACTACTATCTTTTTTAAAAAAATAATATTTATTACTTTTCCAACAATTTAAACACTAAAAAAAAAATACAATACAATACATTAAACTAACAAAACAAAACAAAAACAATAAAATAAATCAAACAATTTCATTATCCCATCTTTCATTCACTTAATTCCACGACCTCCTCACACCTCCCTTTTGTATTCCACTTCTGTTAATTGTTTCAGCAATTCCTTTCCATCTTCCTCTGTTTTCTCGATATATATCCATTTAATTGTATGCTGCCTTACTGGAAATCAATTGACAGTGTGAAGAGAAACTTTAAGCTTTGACTAAATATTCATTGCAACACTCTGATCACGAGAAACTTGCTTTGCACGGACCCCACCACACTAGACTCATGCTGACATTTTCTGACTCAGGTACCCCTAAATAATTCAAAGATAGGATACTCCATTACGCCTTGGCAGATCCAGAATTTCACCACTCTTTACCCCGGCTGGAATCTGATCAGCCAATGCCAAGTGACGGTCCTCCCAAGGGAAATGTGACACACAGAAAGCCAGAGACAGATTTAATTGTCTTTGACGAAGACCCCCCGATGGTCCCAGCAATTCACATAACACCATCGATGCCGGGAAATCTGGAAAATGCTGCAACTCAACCCTGAGAACAACAACACCTTGCATATCCTAAAAACGGTTGCATCACTACCAAACCAGTGGGAGAGCTGATAAGAATTCCCCCCCCCCACACACACACAATGAAGCCAAGCCAGTTATGGAACATGCAGCCTTAACATTATCTCGTGGAACATAGCGGGTTGGGCCAACAAACTAGGGGACGAGCCATTTTGTGAATATATAATGTGTTTTGACATAATAATGCTACAGGAAACTTGGGCAACTGACAACATAGTTCTCGACGGTTACCACGCCTATGAAATCAAGGCCTCTAAACTGCTCGGAAGGGGACGACCGAGGGGGGGCCTAGTAACTCTGGTTTCCACTCAATTGGCGTCACATGTTACTGAGTGCTCAGTTGGCACTGGGGATCACTTTGCATCTGGAATCCAAGAGTATCATTCTTGTTTCAGCTTATATCCCACCATATACAGTGCAAACACAGATCGAGACAACATGGCGTAAATTCCATAGTTTCCTTTATTCCCTACAAATTAAGTACCCCGGATCGCCTTTTTACCTAATGGGAGATATGAATGCCAGAATAGGCTCAAATGATGATAGCCTGGAAATAAAATTCCCAATATTAAGAGATCTAAAGGAAAATAGCGCCCTCTTTCTAAACCCACCCCCTCGTAGACATTTGAAAGATTGTCAGATCAACTATGCTGGCTTCTGCCTGGCTTTTTTACAAATAAGTCTTGACCTTATCATTGCTAATGGGGCGCTCCCCGGGGACAGAGAAGGCGAGTACACATTCATAAATACAAATGGCGCCAGCATAGTAGACTACTGTCTCACTAACAGGGAGGCCTTCAAATCAATTAAAAAATTCAACATAGATAATAGGACCGAAAGCGACCACCTACCTCTAATTGTCTCCACTACTGGCCAAAATTCAGTTCAGCGCTCTTACATAGAACATGAGGAAATAGATAAAGCAAATGATCCAGCACTGTGTGGAGAAAAAAATGGACACCTGAGACAGCAATTGCAGTTGAGAATAGATTGAATTCACAAACTGCAATTAAGTTAAGATCAATTATAATAAACAATTTATCAATAGATTCCTCCCTGACGGCTTACAAAAATCTCATTGAGTCCTTGCAGGATGTGGTCTCTGTCAACATAAACTCAGCCGGCAAGCCACGCACTGCTAAAGGACGCTGTTGGTTTGACCAAGAGTGCCGCACAAAGAAGGAAGCATTAAGGAACGCTTATTTGGCCTATAGAAACGCTGGACTAAATTACTTACCTACATCTTATTTCAAAATCAAAAAGAGTATAAAGCCCTTTTGGCCTCAAAAAAAAAGGCAGTCCGAACAAAATTCCAGGTCCCTGCTATTGAATGCCTCACTAAACAATGAAACTAAACTCTTTTGGCAACTGGTCTCGGACGCAATGAAAAATAGTTCTTCAGCCCCCAGCTGTGCCATTCCAGCTCAGGTTTGGGAAAACCACTTCAGAAATATATTTATGGAAAATCCAAACCTCCCTTCCAGCATGATGACAGGGCAGAATTGCCACTGCTCCCTCATTGGAGGGCGGATACTGTGGAGGACGTCCATACATTAATTGGGAATCTGAAGAGCGGAAAGGCTCCGGGGAGAGACTTTATCCCAGTGGAATTGATTACATCAAACCAGCACTGGTGGGCTCCGC